GAAGAGCGTGGCGCTGCCCCAGACCCTGAGTCCACAGCAGGAAGCCTGCCCCCCATGCACAAATCTGGTGGGACATATGCCCCCCCGGGGTGCACACAGCAGCAGGGAGCTGCCTCTGCCCCTGTGCCTCCTAGACAAGCTACCTGCAGCTCTGTCCCACTCCCTGGCCCCAAGGTCCCATTCACCACCCTGTCTGGGCAGCACCCCCAGCCCTTGCCCCACTCGTTCCCTCACTGGGGGCTTCAGTCTGCCCCCCCACCCCCCTTCCTTCTCCCATGCCCCTTCCCCTCCACAGACTTACCTGGAAGGCTATACTCTCCATGCTGCCTGTGGCTGCACTCCTGGCCACGTTCATGGCAGCTGCCCCCATGTATGCGGCATCTGGAGGCCCTGGCCAGAAGGCACAATATATTTATCGGTGACATTATCTGCTACACTGGCCAAAAAAAGCCAATAGCCAACTCAAGACATGACCGATATATCAGTGCACCTCTAACAATGATAAAACTTTGTGTGAAATATTTTCTTATGAAAAGGTTCAGCAGAAATTCCTCCTAGTTTATTTGATCATTGTATTTATACAGTATTTTTCTGGCAAATTCTTTAAAGCACAGTGAAACTGTGGGAAAGGTTTGCAGTCTTCTTCACAATATCTCTCTGGCTACTGTGGTTCGGTAGTGGGTTAATTTCTCATTCTTTCTGCTAAAAATGTTCTTGGCATCAAAGTGAACCAACTGACATTATGTATTGATTTCTTCTTGCTGTCTTCGCAGCTGGCTATTTTGAACTTCTCCTATAGTACTGATATAACTCAGTTTCGACAACTCCACCTGGATGACACCCGCAGGTCTTTTTTCTTTGTATCCTTTTGCTGTGTTCAAAAAGTAGCAATTATGACACAGTAATTTGCAGTGCAGAAATTGGGTACTTTGAAAGGTTCTTAATCTGGCATTTCTGGTCTGCCTATTGCTGTATTCAAATTATAGTTCCTGTATTCAAACTGAGGACAATATCTGATTTGTGCAATGTGTGTAAAATTCTAACTTTCTATATATTCCAGAAACCAAAATTGTCCCTGGTAACTTCTTCCTTCTTGGTTTGTGAGGATGGTAGCTGTAAGAGTTCGATATGATTTGCCACTGGGGAGGTGAGGGAGATTTAGCAGCTCAACCAGGGGCTTTATCAAATAGGTAAGGGATAATAGGCAATTTCATGACTCTGATGGAAGGTTTCTAGGAACAGTTGGCAAGGACAAGGGTTTATAGTGCAGCTGAGTAGAGGGGTAAGGGGGTATCAAGAGTAATGGCTCCATTTTTTAATTTTAACAGCGTCACAAGAAACTCACTGATCTTTACCCAGAAATTCAAGCATGCCTCTTTTTTTTTTTAAACCAATCTGGGAAGGATGGACTAGAATGTCAGAGCATCCAAAATTTGAATCAGGAATATTAGGAGGCCAGAAGAAAATCAAGGAAGCTTGATGCTTCACTTAAAGAGGCGAGTCAGATCAAAGGAAAGGGACCAGATGGCTTGCTGGGTGCAAAAAAGCTAAGTTTGACTGGGGAAGGAGGGTGCTTGAAAAATAAGTGCATAAATACATATAAAATGGAGAAATTTAATTTGAAAATTTATGTCATAAGCAGTAAAGTTTTCTTTTTAAAATTTAATGAAGTTTCTATTCTTTCTTGACCAAAGGTCTCATACAGAGTTGGAAAACGTATTAGTCACTTTGGTTATTTGAAAGTGTTTGTTTAAAAAAAGGAAACTAAAATGTCTTGAAGCTCCAATATAGCCCAACTTTTCATCTAAGCATCTCAGTATATTTAGTTTTGTTCCCAAAAAACATATACTTATTTTTACTGAGACAAAGTCCAATGAATATCTATTCATTTTAATATATATTTAAGAAATTACTATAAACAGCAGTGTTTGAAAAAAGAATCCTTTTCAGTTGGCAATCTAGCAGTACTACTATGAAATTAGATTGTGTATTTGTAATTTAAGAATATATCAAGATGCCCAGTTAGGGCTTGAGAGCTGGCCTGTACTGAGGGGCCTTAGGCCTTTATTAGTCTGATCTTGCAGAAGGAGATTCAGATTGCATATGCTTAGCATCTTGATTAAGCAGCAAACCCAGTCCATTATGCTATTGGGCTTTTTTCCTGTTTGTTAGAGGTTTGTAGTTTTTTATAAAACTTTATTGGAAGAATTGTGTTGTATTGTTAGAGTGCTGGATTACCAAACCTGAAGCAACATGCTGTGCTTGGGAGAGAGAACTTTATTTGCTGTGACAGATTCAGAAAACATTGCTTGGAAAATCTGTAAGACCCAAGTAGACAGTTATGGGGAACTATTTATGCAGGGGTCAAAAAACTCTGGGTGCTATACATGCACGCTTTAATGTGCATTAGCTTATTTTAATGCTCATTAAATCCTCACTTAAAAACCATGGGTGCCTGTATAAGAGCAGACTTGATTAATAGAGTTTGCTGCAGCACGGTAATTACCATGCTCCAGCAGCCTCCTGTGTCTTGTGTACCAGTGTCCCCGTGCTTAAAAATGGCAGCAGGGGCTCTTGAACTAAAGCTAATTTGGGATCTGAAGTGTAGTTTTCTATTTCTAGTTGTAATAGAATTGAAGCAACCTTGCTTCTTATAGTGCCAGACAGGACTGGTGTATGAAACAAAACCCTTCAGCAGAAAAAAAAAATCCTGGTATTTGGATTTGATCTTTTTATAATAACTTTTATTATGCACTTTCCTTAGCCACATCTAGGTTTTCTTCATTGTGACAGCCTTTTTTGGTACTGGAAACATAGCTTCTGTCAACAGGTAAATTTAATTGATTCTGTTTGGAGAAACTCTGTGACTAGGGACACAAATTACACATAAACCGGTGTAAGTGATTGGAAACTGGTTCAAGCCTGTAACACAACAGAAGTTCAGTGCACATACGCTGCTTTCAAAATGGTTGAAACCATTTTAAGATGAACTTGAATGGATGTAGTACCAGACTAAACTGTTTTAGATTAAATTGGTTTATTGAACTTCTGTCCCAGGTCCCTTCCAGATTCAAATGAACTCATAGTCCCCCAGCATCCCAAGATGTTTTGCACCTCCCCTCAGAGAGTGGGTGGGCTAGCCTTGCCCAGGCTGCCTGCCCTAGCCAAGCAGAGAGATGTGCTGTAGTGCCCTGGCTTCTGGCCTGGACCACTGTGGGCATGTGCTTGTACATCCGGAATCAAAAGTGAATGTCTGTTCACTTGCTTTATAGGTTCAATCTATGCAACTCAGACTAACCTGCAAAGACTAAATTGATTCAGCCTTGGGCCTTTTGACTGTCTGTACTTGGCTGTGTGCAGATTATAAGCAGGGCAAAAAAGACTTTCAGGAACATAGCAGAAACAACATGTTTAACAAAACAGTCCAATACACCCAAAGCAGTAGTGAAGTAGTAATTGTTATTACTTAGCTTCTGTAATATGTTGTCTCAAGGTCCAGTACTTCCAGCAAAGCAGTTGTCTCAGTTTTTGTTGGTATAAGTTGAGGGAACCCATTCCCCTCTGGAAGAGTTGTGTAGCTTGAAGAATTCTGCTGGGAGTGATTAGAAAAGAATGCTGAGATATCAGAGCCTTTTATAATGCTGCATTTGAGCAAGATAAGGGTAGCCTGAATGCTCGGATTCTGAACAAAGTATATAATGTCTTATTAGCAAGAGAAATGAAACTGCCTGCTTTTTTATGACAAACACTATTGCTGAGATACATTTTAATAATCTAATTTTATTGTTTTCACGGTTCTCTAGTTTTGACCCAGCTTCTGTATATTGCTTCCTGACAGTATTCAGTCCCTTTATGATGGGAGGCTTGCTGGTGTTGAAGGTTAGTAATTGCATGTTAGTGTCATTTTTCTCAAAGAACAGCTTAATGACTACTGTGTTTGGCATGCAGGAATTTTTTTTTCTGTAGTTTACAGTGTATAAGTATTTTTGAGAATCATTAATATTTTCATCAGTTGTTCAACTCTCTTTGAGATTAAATATACCTGAGATTTGAACCCCCCTGTTGCCATACATGGTTGTACTTCAGTATCCAGAATACATAATTGGCCAATGATAATTATATTTTGTTACATTTAAACAGAATTGTTTTATCTTGTAAAATCGGATAAATAATCAAAGCACTAAATTTATTCCTTGATGTGTAATACTCTCATAAGTTAGTGAAATAAACATTTTTATTCTCTCCACCTGTTCAAACTGTATGAAGCAGACATGTTAACTTTCCTACTGATTTTTGTCATTGTTTTGATAAGCTAAATGTATCTGATTTTAGGAAATGGCCCTTCTTAAGACTGGCTTGCCCATGCTGTTATTTCCTGTTTGGTGGCAAAGTGTGGCAGATTCTTTTGATGTCTGATATAAGAGTCATTTAGATAGCACTAGGGGAAACAGGACAGGAAGTCCTGTTGCTACATTTGTTCTTGTGATGAGAGAGATTTTACCCTGCTAGGTTTGCTCCCAAGAAGCAAAGTAATTTTTTTTTTCTTCATATAGAGGAACAACCAGAGTCTGCCACCCAGCTTTGAGTGCAGAGCTGGTAGATGCTGAAGAGTACTGACCCTGAGCAGGACCACAGCTAGACGTTGCCTGCTTGTCCTAGATGTACTTTTAACAAAAACCCAGCCTTTGCCTTCCAACACATACAAAGACAGGAGCTGTGAAATGGCATATTTAGTCCTTTTCTAAAAGGGTCTACTGCCTTGTTGATATCTTTCTTTTTTAAGAAGTGTGAAGCAAATCTGAATGTGCAAATGCAGTGCTCACACTTTGAGGGTTTTGTACTTAATTCATTAAGTCATGCACGTTTGCTTAGTTTGTTTGTGGAGAGGCAGAGTGAAATATGTTTTTGCTCGTTATGTCTCCATCCAGACTGAAATCACCTAACGTGCTGGGAACTGCCTCATAAAATATTGCATATAAATCATTCTCAGTTGTAGCATTTGTGGAATAAGGCAGGACAGGCCAACACCACTAACTACATCTCTCTACTCATAGAATAGTCATGCTAGAATAGGTTAAATGAAATTAAGATCACTAGTGTGTTTTAATTATGGATGTTTTTCACTGCGTCTAAGCCTTGACCATAAATTGTAGTGCACGCAAGAAAAAAATACGAGCAAGGAAAGAGCAGAAAATCATTTGGCAGAGAATATATGCTCACTAAACTGACAATGAGGTGTCTCATAATAGCCATTCCGAAAGCATGAATTTGTTTCCACTAGTGATGTTCTTGTAGGCTGTTCTCTTAATGTTGTTGTAAGCTTTAATGTAATTTGTGTTTTTTAAACAGGTTATAATCCCTTTTGTTCTTGTGTCTTGTGCTTTTGAAGCTGTTCAAGTCACAACACAGCTATCTTCTAAAAGGTACAGTAGATGTTTTACTGTGGTAGTGTCTATGGGTTTCATTGCAGTGATCAGTCAAACAGTGTTTCTGAACATTGCTGATTAATTAGTAAGGATGTGACAAACCCTGCATCAGATTCCATTTGTATGCAGATCTGCTCACTTTAAAAGAATTTGGAGTTGTCAAGTCTCAGTTCAGAAAAAAAGGTGGGAGGCATCACTCTGCTTTTCTCAATTTTTCAATTGGGACTGGGCAGTTGCACCCGTACAAGATGCACTATTTCTAATGCTACCCCAGGCAGATGCTCATACAGCCACTCTCACTTTTTCTTTAAATCTTCCAATGAAGGAGATTCTACCAGTTCATGGGCAATTTGTTTAGTGTCTTGCCATTAGAAAGTTTTTTATGTGAATTTAAACCTGCCTAGTTTTTTTTGTGTTATGCCTTTTGAAAAGAAGACTGGAGGTATAATTAAACAAAAAAAATAGTGTAATTGTAGTATGTGTATCCTACCTATGCTAGTTTCACCTGGCTAGCATGGGTAACAAAAGCAGTGAAGATGGGGCAGCACAGGCTTTAGTTGTCACGAAACAGAGCATTTACCCAGAGTTCCTGAAGAGTTAGCTGGTTGCTAGAGGGTTCTAAAACCTGTTGCTATTTCATCCCTCCTTTTGTTGCCAGTGCTATCTTAGGTTAAGCAAATACAGTTATGCTTGTGTGCTCTACAACTGCACCTTGTTTTGTTATGTAGGTGTATCCTGAGATTAGCATTGGCTGCTTCTCTTGAATGATCCAATATTCTTTTATTGAGCTTGCTCATCCAAGAGACTTGTAAACAGCGAGGGACAAAGAATTCAGCAGACTTTGCCCGTGCTCTTCATCGAACCCTGTGCTCCACTCATGGAGATTCTGTTGCTTCCAAGATTATTTTTCAGATTCTCTCCCTGGCTTGCCAGCAGGCAGATGACTTCAAGCCTTCTGGAACGAAGGGGATTTTTTTCTGTGAAATCCTTCTTGTGATCCAGAAAGATATGTATGATGTCCCTATCAACAGGGGAGTTCTCCTTTAGTCTGAATTGTTCCCAAACTCCCTGTTAGGTAAAAGGGAGGAGCCATCTCTCCATATGGGCCCTAATCCCAAATTTGTTAATTTAGCCCAGAGGCTATTGGATATCACAACACTGTGATGTTGTTGGGTATATAGGTTCATACTCAGCATGGACCAGTTAGAGAAGTGTTTTTGTTGCATTCTTTTTAATGAGGCATAGTTCATTTACCCAGGAAATGCTACAGAATTGGGCCCAAGGTCATCTTCCTCGTAGGAGGAAATCAGCTGTGAGGTGCCACCACTATATGTGTCCATATCTTTGTAATATAATATTTTCTGACGAAGTTTCAAGCTGCCAGTTGATTATATTTCATACTGACGGCACTTACAAATTAAACAATTACACTTAGGGACTTGTCTGCTGTTGGTTCAGTTGTCTGTAGCACTGCTGTAGTGGCAGTAATAGCTAACCAGTTTTTAACGAGTTGTAGCTCCTTTTGTGTGAACTAGAACTTCCATAGTTTAATGAAAAGAATAAAAAAATGGAGATAAAAAAGCTTCCTTAGCTCAGCATGCTTCCTTTTAGTCCATTTTGCTGGGATCTACTTTCCCAGAGGTTAGTAATCCTATATACTAGTACGTTTAGTATTCCTCATGTCTCAAGGGACTTGGGAACATTCCACAGAAGTTTTTGGAGTTTCTGGAATACCTCTTATCCAGTCAAAGATCTTTAGAAAAGTCCAGTTGTGCTTTTAGCAGCCCTCCACCCCATAAGATTGGTTTGTCAGCAAAGAGCTGATTACTTATTTGAGCAAGGCAGGGGAACTTTTATGCTCAGTAGCCTTTTTGTCATTTGTGAATCCTGTGGACCTCTGTGGGCTTAAATTACCAAATAACCTATTGCTGCCCAGAGCAAAATTCACCTGTTATGTAGTTGTAATACCCTCTATCAGGCACAGTGGTTTTTAAATTTTTTAATATTTTAAAATGCCAGCAGCACCTACCATTTGACAGACTGCTCATGCTTGCTGGCAAATAGCTCTAATTTGGGCTACCAGTTTAAAAAATGGCATAATCTTGAAGTCACTTTTTCAGAGCAATATGGTGAAATTACATGCTTCAAATGTCAGGTGTATTTCTCCTGTTATGCTTTAACATCCCTTGCAGAGTACATAGAAATTATATATCATGGATTGAAAGGCAGCCATATGGAGTCATGTCATTTTATATTTATGCTTGAGGTTTTAATAAGCTTTGTAATAGTGTCTGAGGCTATAAATAATTATGATCTTTCTCTCTTTTGCAGCCTTTTCCTCATTGTTCTTGTCATTTCAGACATTATGGCTTTGGTAAGCTAATGTTGGACATTCTGTACAAATAAGATCAAGAAGCAGAGCACTCTTCTAATTCAATCTAGAGATATCTGAATTAGTTTCAGACTTCAAAGTTTTTAGAACTAGAGCAGTGAGTTGAATCAAAGCCCTGGCATAATTTACAGATAACTCACCCAGTCTCTACCCTTTGTATATCCTGTAATGAATGCTTCTAAAGCAGCGTGATTTTTATTACTTTAGCTCTTTTGCTCTGTTTTAATGTATTTCCTATTAAATATTTGGGGAACTTATGAGAGCAAAGGAGAGTGCTAGTTTTATGTGGATGCTGGAGGTAGGTAGTTCATTTTTCAGCAGTTTTCTTACCTGTTTTGAACCAGGAGGTCTCAAAATTATGGGTGGTGGGGAGGGTACTTAAACTGTTCAAAAGGTGTGGGAGGTATTTAATAGTTGCCCTTTGTGTGAGTAAGGCTGAAAAATCCACTTCACAAACTGTAGTTATAAGGAAAAATCCAATTACAAGTTAAAAAAATATACTTGAACAGTGGCTTCAAAAATAGTTGTACATTACCATGTTTTGCCATGGCCTGAGTGGGAACTCACTTGGGCCCTCTCTACATGTGCAGGTAAAGGCGCAATTGGATCTAATGCCCAATCCACACAGTTGAGCCTCCTGCCATGCCACACATGAATGGTGGGAGGTGGGGTTGTGCGTTAGAACTAATTGTGACATTGCGGGTGTAGGAGGAGCCCGATCCTGCGTGCCGCCTTTACCTGTAAGCAGCAGACATCCGTGGCTGGGAGCCCCCTTTCCTGAGGGAGCTCCTAACCATGGAGGCTATGCACAGCCAAGACCAAGAGTCCCTGCAGCTAACAGGGCTCTGGGTCCTGGCTGCACTTGGTATGTATCCAGGACTGAGAGACTCCACAGCTCATGGGGCTCTGGGAGCCAGAGCCCTGTAAGCTGTGGGATTCTGGGTCCCAACTACATGTGAAGTGTAACCAGGAGCCAGAGCCCTGTCAGATAAGGGACTCTCAGTCCCGGCTACGGGTGAAGCACAGCAGGGCCCAAGATACTATGTGTGTCTGGGGGTTTCATGCACCCCTGATTCTTGGGGATCATGGTAGCCACTATCCCCAGGGCTTGGGGGTTAACCGCTGTAGCTGGGAGCCCTGTTGGCTGACAGACTACCAGATGCAAGGGAGATCTTGCTGCATATGTAAATTAAAGCTCGATAACAACCAGCTATAAAGTTAATACGCATTTTTGAGGTCTAACTTTATAGCTGGTTGGAACTTTTTATTGTGTGATATCTGCTCTGCATGCAACCTGGTCTCGAGGTAATTGCACAGTTAAACAGCTAATTGTGCAATACCTGTAATGTGTAGAGAGGGCCAGAAAGAGATAGTTGCTGTAATTGTGCTCTCACTTCCCACATACCCTTTTGGAAGATTTGCTTCAAAGTTATAAAACATACCCTTTGTGTTATGCTCCTGCAAACAGCATCATGATTTGTGCGATTCTGCCATGTAAAGCAAGAGTGTCAAGTTCCCTTAGCTTCCTGCGATCCAGATCCAGACCATGGGGAGTGTAGTGGGCCAGCTCTGGCTCCACCTCCAGGGGTGGAGCAGACAGTGACGGTTTTAACTGCCGGGGGTCCCTGAACTACAGGGATTAGCATAGCCATCACTCACCTCTCCACTGCCAACACACATCCCCCATCAGGGCATCGTATGCCAGAATATGCAGTCCAGATCTTTTGATGTTCAGACATAAGAGAAATAAAAGGCACAATTCCTTACAGAATGAAAAAGAGGCTTGGTATAAGGGGCCTGGAAATATCTTTTTGTTTTAACAGATCTCTGAGTACATGAATAATAGTGGTAGTAAGTTAAATAGAGAAAAAGATTAAAATATCATTGAACCACACATAGGACTAACAAAATCAATTTGGTTAGATCCACTTGACAAAGTTAAAGTAATCTTCTTTATATAGTAGACTAAAATGGTCTTTAACTTGTATCTTCTTCCACTTAAACTTCTTGATCTTAAAAGTTTGGCGAACACTTATCTGATATACAAAGTAGTGTTAACTGCAGAGTCTTGGCATGCAATTTTTTGCAGTTGAAGACGGTGTAGGTGCCACAAATTTTCTAGGTGATCCTTTCAGTGGACTGAGTTCCTCATATACCTCACTCTAACAGTTCCATGGATCAGCATTCTGCTGTTCTCTTTCTTGAAAGTATTATTCTGTTTTTAAAATGTTAGTATCTGTTCATTTTTGAAGTAGTTTTTGAGGGTTTTTAAGGCTTGCTATGTAACTCTGCCCAGCAACTTCAAATTCCCCTTTTCAAGTGGGTGATGGTCCTATTTTTAATAGTGTGCTTCTAATTTCTGAGTTATCCTTTAAAAAACAAATGTAAAGTATGTGTTACCTAAAGCCACTAATTGCAGAAGTTCTTGTTGGGCACTTCAGGCTGCTTTGCATGTGTGAGATGGGGAGGAGTGGTCCAGAAGGTCAGTGCAAGGCATGTCATGTTTTGACTGATCCCAGATTTCTGGTAACATGAATCCCCCCCACCACCTTGGATGGCAGGGCATTACCTACCTCTCTTTGCTGCCACTTCCCAGCCTGAGTTCTGTCTGAGTAATTATGAAAACCCTCCTGTGTGACCTGCCTTCATGGGTATGAAATGGCCACGTAACCAGGGCTGTCTTGGTCCACCCCAAGCCATGTATTTCTTTTTGCCAGTTTGGGAGAAGAATTGAGGCACGTTTTTATCCTTTGACAGGAAAATAGGGAAGTGTTGGAAGAGACTTGACTTTTCTTCCCAGGATCTTGTTTCCTATAGGAGTAAAGGTAGAGAGCAGGGACAGTATACTGGGTGGGTGTGGAGCAAGGTTTAAGGGACTGCATCTCATAGCAGAACACTGAAGAGAATTGTACCCATTTTTAGTGATGTGAAACAGGTTCTCAGACTCTTCTTTCCTTGACTCCAAATCATGTACACTTTTTTAGTAACACTATATTGTAGGCTTCATTCTTTCTTCTGTTTCAGTCATATTTCCCATGGTATTTGACAGGGGTCAAACTTGGGGCTGGGACTCATGTTGGCCCGCCCGCCTGTCTAATTAAGGCAGTCTGCCCAGTCTCGCCTGCCAAGATTTGCTGTTTCTATGACTGGTGAAAATGCAGGAGGCTGCCCATTTTAATACCCCAATGTCAGGGGACACTGTACATGACCCCAACCTCCCCATACCGTGTCTCATGCCTTGCAAATGGCATTCCAAAACAAGTATTTAATTTTTTACCCAAACTTGGCCTCACCACGTCTGAGGACTTACCGGGGTCTCCCTCTCACCCAAAACTCAACCTCACCATGTATGAGGAATTACTGGGGTCTCAACTCCTGTTCAGCCTCCAGCACAAACTCAACCTCAGGCATTTGTAGACTGACCTTAGCCCCTATCCCCCCTCACTGGTACTTCAGTTCATTCCCTCATACTAGAGTCTCTGGGTTATAAATCCGTTTTAAGTCTGGGCCAAACTCAGTCCTGTGTTTGACCTCTTGCATTCTGCCCTTGGCTGGGCCACACGCATACCACCTCCCTCTCACTGGGGCCTCTTGCACTGCACCCTCTCTCACCAGGCCTCTTTCATGCCACCCTACCTAGGGCCACTCTCAACCTGCCCTTGCTCCTCTGAGTGACCCCATTGGCCCATTGGGCTTTACTACTCACATTCTGACCGGCG